AAGGAGACAAAATATTCCAAAAAAAAAGAAGAATATTTATATATATACCTATATTGTTTGTATGAAATCGGAGATTGTTTCGTTTGGCGATTCAACATATTAGTGAATAAAGGACGTCATTATTCAGCTTTGTTGCGTACAGATTGTGTAAATATGTAGTGCCTCGTTTACAACGAATGCACACACACACAGGTAGAGTAGCACCAAATTTACGACGTCACAAATGACTATGTATATTCTGTATCTATCATATATCTTGTTCAATTCTATACCATAACACTCACAGCCAACAAAATAAAAAATAAGAATGAAACCATAGTTCACTTTCTGTAAAGTCTCACATCTTTGCCACACTCAGATCTTCGTATTCTCGTACCACCATCTTTAGAATGCATCAGAGAAAAATCAGTGGCCTTGGTTTATCTCCTTAATTTTCATTGAATCATTTCCTAAACTTCGTATTTCAAGAGAAAAAGGTATTGCCCCGGGTGAGGCTCGAACTCACGGCCTTCAGATTATGAGACTGACGCGCTGCCTACTGCGCTACCGAGGCGGTATTGATATTTAAAGTATCAGTTGTTTTGTGTATTCTTTCTCCTAAAAAGTAAAACGCATTTTCTCAGTCTCTACATGTTGTTGGGTCACTTTGAAATACACTAGAAGATCATGAAACTGATTAATTGAAAATATTGTACATATCCTATACTTGCATATTTCAATTTTGACGGTAAGAGTGACGAGCATTTTATGAACTGATACATTAACACACAACTTGGGTTGCCGTCGTCGCTACTGGAGGTTAGCATGTTACGAAGATTTGTTGAAAGTGAATTATGGTTTATTTTTATTTTGTTGGCTGTGAGGGTTAATTAATAGAATGAAACAAGGCTGCTGCTAGATACAGAATATATATAGCCAAACGAAACAATCTCCGATTTCATACAAACAATATAGGTATATATATAAATATTCTTCTTTTTTTTTTGGAATATTTTGTCTCCTTGTTCATACAGAATTATAAGGGTTTCACTGACGGGTCCTTTGTCAAATATACCACACACTACCTACGAAAGGTAGTGGTAAAACTAAGGAAACTTAGATTGGAGAATCGCGCCCAATCATTTTTGTCATCTTTCTTCAGCAATTCTACTGACCGTTGAGTATTTTAATAAGATAATAATATTCTTCCATTTCTCTTAAAGTACAAAGGTTGGTTATACTCCACATCTTCTCATGCGCTCTCCCTTTAGTACCAGGACTTATGTATCAGTTTGGATGTTTGTAAAATATTAAACTTAACGCATCTAATATTCAACTGTCAGTCTAGTTTGTTCACGACGTTATCTTTCAATTTTAATAAACTTGCCACTCTTGACTCATCACTCAATTCAGAATCGTTAGAACTACATTCATCAATCGATTCAGATTATACATTATCTGTAGATTCAATTACGACAACCTATGCAATAGATTTTAAAATCAAAAAAAGATCAACGTTTAAAATGCACAATAAAATTAAAAAGACTACATGGTTCGGTAGCTCTACGCTACCATCATCAGGAGTAAAAACCTACATGTGCTGTACCTACCATGGATATCGAAACAAGGTTTTTAGCGTTATAAGCCTTCAGACTTACCAATGAGCCAGTGAAGGGTTTAGGAAAGAAAAGGGCAGTAGTGAACGAACAACTAAAAGATATTGCAAATATTAAGCGAAATATTTTAGTCGGAGCTTGGACCAATAGCACACACTATAACGATGTCGAACAAACTGAAAAGGACATAAAGTAAAATAGTTTCATTAACAGGTAGTTGAAATGGTAAACTTAAACATATTATAAAGGGAAGGTATTTATATATTACCTTGTCCCTAATTGTTTTCGCGTAAATAAGTGATTACTCCCTATCACCACGATAATAGTGGCAGCAATGCGAATACCACTTATACTTTACTGCAGTTCGGTTTAATAAATGTTAGTGGAAGAAAACGTAATATGCAAATGATATCAAAAGAAATTAGAGTTAGAAAATAAATATGACGTAAAAATCTCACCCTTGAAAGAAGAACAAAATGTTTAAACATTAATTTACAAAAGACAAAAAGAACTATGATATATAAAATTGTCACAGGGCGGTGACATATGTTTGCTGCTCCTAAAGGTAAGGTTTAATTTTTGTATTATTATGTTGTTTTTTTTGTTGTTGTTTTTCACTTTGCCAATTTCCACGCAAAGATCACTCAAATAGACAATTCTCTTTCCTTGTTTTGGTGCGTATCAGTACTTAATAGTTTCCCTGAAAAGGAGCCGAAAGCCACATGGAAAAGTCACTCCTGTTTTAACCACTTCCACCACAATACAGTAGTACAGTAGCGTGTTGTCTGTCAGTCATTCAGTAGACACTAAAATGACACGGTGAAGAAATATTTTAACTAAAGTGTATTTAAAAACATTCGGAATAAAGCTTTCAAAATCAAAAGGTCCTCCGGTGGGATAGCGGGAAGTTTAGGATTTACAAGGCTAAAATCCGGGGTTTGATTCCCCGCAGTAGACAAAGCAGATAGCCAAATGAGACAAATATTTGTAGGTAAACTACTTCTGATTCATACGTGTAGATGGCGCCAAACGCTTGGAACTTCCTAATGCTTTGCATTTTGTATAACTTTACAAACGAACCTTGTTCAATGTTTACATTAATTATAAAACAGAATTAAATTTCAACACATGAAAATTTTTATATGTATGACATTACTTTCTGGAAATTATACTGAATTTAAACGTTCCTATTATTTGATAAAGTAACTACATATAAATAATTCAATTATTGGATAAGAAAAACATTACTCCCCGGCGGGGAATCGAACCCCGGTCTCCCGCGTGACAGGCGGGGATACTTACCACTATACTACCGAGGACTGACATATATGTTTGCTTTTATGTTAACTAAAGCGAATTACATCCTAAAGTTATTCCTACCTCCTACTATATCTATCTGAATTTCAAGCTGTTCGTTGTGATAATTCAATTTATAAAGTACCGTTTTTCTCACATCATGTAATTGGTGACATATTTAAACATTTGCCAACATGCACACAGAGACGAGAAATCTTAAATTGAGGTTTATTCCATTCCTCCAAGGGCAAAATATGTATTATATCATGCAGAATGACAAAGAAAAAAAAAGGCAAACACTGTAATTAAGAGAAATAACAATGTTTCAAGCAGTTATTATCCATTCTTTGCAAGTGTTCCAATGTCCTCATTCTTCTCTAGGCACACAAGTTTCGTCCCAATGTAAAGATTGAGATAAAGAAAAAACGACGTTAGATAAAGTACTGTAGTTTTTAATTTTGTAAATATGCACGCGTAACTAATAGGTTATAAGAATATATCGTCAGTTTGTTGTTGTTTTTTTAAACACAAAGCTACACAATAAGCTATCTGTACTGTACCACATTTTTAGTGTTATAAGCTCTTAGACTTGCCGCTGAGCCGTCGGAGAGAGTGCATGTAATGCGATTATCATTGAACTAACAGCAACCTAAAAAAACAAGCGTTTAAAATTTCTAGAAGAAATAAACTATATTCACACACACCTGCATCAAACAACACTGAGGAGTGGAATTCCGAAACCGGTATAATACAGTGACAAGTGGTGAATCTAATAATATATTGGACTTCATATTTATTTTTGGTAATAATAATTAATTCAAAATGAAGGAAGACCACCTCATAGCACGTATTTGATACCTAATATTGTGTTTGAGAAATATGATAGCTTTCCTAAATTTTCATTCTGAATGTATTAATAGGACGATACTTGTTACAAATCCAAAAATAATGTTTATTTGGAAGATGGGGCTTTGGGATAGCTATTTCTTTTGTCCATTTATTAAAAATAGTTTTCTAATTACAGGATCATACGGACACGTACACTTGTATTAACATAAACGAGGAAATATCTTAAACTTCCAGTTGAAGACTCCTCCCCTGACCTTCTTGCATTTATAACCTGAAAACACGTAAGTACACCGCGCATCTACCCGACAAATTGGCCGTGCCCTGTGTTGTGAGTGAACCGAATCTAGAAAAGTATTTGTCACTTAAAACATTGCCCAAAAGTAACACTTTAATCTTGAAATAATTTCATTAATAAAATTTGAAAAAAAGACAGTTTTCTTTTTAATTTTAACTCAGATAAAATGTTTATTTGAATAAACAAAATGAAAAACTCTACCTTCGCTGATAAGAATAACTTCAATAAGACTAAGGGATTGGACAAGCTGAACTTGAAGGAAATAGAGCCTGAGGAATCCATAGCAGGTAATTTTGGTTGTTCTGAAAACAGCGGTAAATCTTTTTTGTCTACAATAGCTCTACTACTGAGTACAAATATATACCATTGGTAAGGCTGATAAGTATATACTACTATTAATGTAGGACATATGATATAGCTGAAAGTTTAAGCGTGTAACATTAGCACTAGCTAGTCGTACGAATGCGTCAGCATTATTAATACGAGTAATACTACTGTGACTAACAGTGTTAAGTGTTACTACACATACTAACGGCAAGATATTAATTTAATGTTAGATCTACACCTACAAAATCTATTAGTAGTAGTGGACCAGAGAAGTAATACTAATAGTAATAAACTGAACTAGTATAGTAGTAATACTAATAGTAATAATATTATGATTATGTAAATATTTGTCGTTAGTGTAAAAAAAAATATTGTTAAAGAATATTCACCTAAACAGTGGTAGTGGTACTCTACTATTAGTATCTATTACTATTATGCTCCAACTAGAGGTCTTTATATTAGTAATTTATATTACACGAAAACTAAAGTCGAATGTTAACGTTAGTAACTATAGACAGGAATTGTACTTATAATAGCTAGAACTAAACCTTGTGTTTTAGAAGAAGTTATATAATTTTATCATTTTACAAAAGGTATAAAATAGGCAATTGTGTTCTATAATCTAGAGTAGAGGAGCTATACATAAGATTAAATGTTACTAAAATAAATACTATTACTCATACTAAAAGATGTAGGCCTATGGAGTAGTTGAAGTTTAACTTAAAGTTAAAGTATAAGTACAACTCAGTTCTTGTAGCTCTAATCTAGCCTAAAACTATAAGTCAAATTGTAAAAGAAAAACTAATCTATTTTTGATTCATTTAAGCTTACCTTATTAAAAAAGAGAATTAAAATCAAACCAAAGACCAAATTTAAAATTACTAGCTAAATGAATGTTAACCTAACAGTTTACAATCACAGTGTCAGTTGTGTCAAAAATTACATGTGTGATAAAAATTACTGTTCATTATCTTAGTCTAATTCACACCAAAATAGTTGTTGTGAAAGTAATTGATGATATAAATAGCATTTTGACCACTACTATATCTATTGTATCCCAAATGGTCTTTTGATGCCTGGATATAACAGACATGGTTATTGTTATCATTACATTTTTCTTTAAGTTTGATCATAAGTTTTTTAATTACTAATGTAATCTTCTCCTGTTAATGCTGTGGTCACTTGACCCACTTCATGATCAGAAAGTAGTAACTTACTGGTTCACCAGTTCTTTTGATTAATGAGTAACATGAATTCAAATAAAATAAATAATATAAACAATTTAGTATTAAAAACTAATAACTTACTTGTTGTTAATATATATATATATATATATATATCATAATCCTAGTTCTCATGTGTAATAACTTAAAATTAAAAAACTTACAGATTACCAACTTAATTTAGTTCACATTTAAATAATTGTTGCTCAAGTAATTGAGGATATAAAGAGTGTCTTGATTGTCTTGACCACTACTGTGTTTTTCACATTTTGAGCAGTTTGTAGGTAGAAAAATGACAATGACATTGATTCTGAGGTTGTTAAGAAAAAATTTAGAAGTTTAAAGAATGATAAGACTTCTGGGCCAGATAATATTTTCAAGGTTTTGAAGGAGTTTAAAGATTGAATGTGTGAACCACTTGGTGATGTTTTTTTTTTTTATATATAAGTCCTTGAATAGTAGGCAAGTGTCAGAAGATTGCAAGTTAACTAATGGCACTTCACTTTTTTCAAGAGGTGGTGGGAAAAAGTTTTGAAAGTGTCTGATAAAAGGTGCTTTGCCAAGTCATTTTACAAAATTAAATGTTTTGTTGGATAGTCAGCATACTTTCACTAGAGAAAATTTTGTGTTACTAACCTTTTTAACAATCCTTAAAGAGGTTATTACTTGTATAGGTTGATGTACCTGGATCTTAAGAAAGCATTAGACAAGGTGCCACATAAAGAAACAATATCTATAGATGTGTGGAATAAATTAGCTGGATGGAAGAAAGTAGAGGGTTGGTACAAATAGAATTAAGTCCAACTGGATTACTGTTACATCTCACAAGTGTGATACCTCAGAGCTTGGAGTTAGAACATTTGCTCTTTTTTTCAATTTACATGGCTAGTAAATTGCTTAAATTTGTTGATGATATTTTTGAATTGTCTGCAGCTTTTTGGAATTGCCAAAATCTTCGGTCACAGTTTTTGGGTCGTTTCTGATTGATACATTCCAAAACTTTCTGCATTACTTGGTTTTTTGATCAATGTCCAACCATTTTGATGACTGCTAATTACCAAGTGGCATTATTCCCACCTTTCACCTCTTGTTCAGCATTATTTTTTTTCTTTTATTTTTTTTTTCCACCTACTCATTTGTGGTTGTCATAGTTTGAACCTTCATGCCTTTGCTGTCTCCTGTCTTCTATTATAAGAACAAGTTGATTTGTTCCCTGACTGCTTCTTCTGAAGACTTGGTTGCCCAGGAGTGTGATCGATTGTTTTTCTTCCATTTTTTTCCCTTCTATTTCCCTACTATACAATATTTCCATTCCTGATCATCTTTATATCCAGTTAAGGCTATCTGTTGCTATCACATTCGGACTACCCTCTTTCATGGAATCACAATTGCCTGTTATCCCCATGGCTTACTTTCTTCTCTAGGGACCTCCCAATGGCTCAGCAGTAAGTCAGAAGGCTGATAATGCTAAAAACCAGGTTTCAATACCCATAGTGGTGCAGTACAGGTAGCCCATTGTGTAGCATTACAAAAAAAAAAATCTTCTGTAGCAACTTATCCCCTTTCACTTTACCTGGTTGAGTTTATCAGCTCATCCAACTGGCATATTCTTTGGGCAAATCTGACCAAACATTTTTTAATGTCAACCCCCACAAGATTTGGTTTATCATAGCCTCTTGTCTCCTATTGTTTCCAACCATTGAAGGAGATCTTGAAGGCTGTTATGTGGACTACACCTAACACATTCTTCACCCATTACTTATATTACTTACATCACTGTGTAGTTTTGTGTGGCTCTGGTTTTTGCCTCCTTTTGGTCACTTTTCTCCAGTCTACTCAGAGGCTTTAGAGTGGTGAATTTTGCTTATTGATTTTAATTTTCAGCTCCATTACTGATTTTGTGCTCATTGTCCTGACACATTTCATGGCACCACCATGTATGTACCAATCTTTTCATACACATCCAAAACAAACACAAGGACAAAAATAAGAAGAAAAACCCAAATCAAATGCCCACATAACTTACGGAACTAAAACTATACTAATTATGTATGGTGTCATCAGATTTTGTTGAATGACCAAAATTGCCTAACAGTAAATATTTTCCTGAAATCTGCATCAAGTGGGGAAGTACAAAAAGTGTCAAATTCACTTGTTCCTGCTCAATGGCCACCATTAGATGGAGTTTTCTGCAAGACTGCTTTAATAGTATATCTATATAACTGACTGATCTGTTTCTACAGCTTTTAAAAATGAAAAAAAAAAACTTTCTCAGGTGTGGTCTAGAGTTTACATCTAGTTCACACTTCCTGCCTATAGTTGTGTAAATCATTGCATTGTCTCTTGGTGAGGATAAAAGTCCAGATGATTGTGCCTGATGACAGTGGTACATGCGCTGTCTCTATTGTTCTCTGTTCTTTTGGTGGAGCATGGGAGAACCCATACCTCCCCAGTCTCAAGTCACAGGGAAAGTCAATGTGGAGAGTTTCCTCTGTGAGTGGTACCTTCCCCCTGGTGAAAGACCATTTGGGCCCACCCCTCATTTGAAATTTAGGGTTGAGGTGTTACCTGGAAGAGTAAAACAGGACACACAGTTACAACATCTCCCAAGCAGTTTTTGATGGATATGTCTAGCCAGATGAGACTTGGATTTGCCTCAGGAAATAGGTGAGGAATCCTTCTTCCTTATAGTATCTATTTCGTGTGAGTATTTAATCAACTACACATTCTAACATTCCACCTACCTTGGTGACACATAACCACCAGCACTGAATTTGTCTGATAGTCCTTTGCTCCAGTATCTCAATACAAGAAAAAACAACTATTGGCTGAAGAGTATTTCCTACTTAAGAAGGATGTGATCTCCTACTGCATGCTGCTCCATTAGGGAATCCCTGGTCTTGTGGAAGTTGCATCCCACTAACTTTCCCATTCTGTCATTATTTTGAAAAGGAGCTCATCTTTGTAATTGATCAGCATCACCTCCTCAACCATCTTCAATGTGGAATTCTATCTGCTGAGAGGGAGTTTGTTTAGGGCTTGTGGCGTGCTTAAGAAATTTCATGGTTGTTGTGAGTGAGGTAATAGCTGTTTTTCATGGTGCATAGAGGTACTATCTATCTGAAATACGTTTTCAACTTAGGAAAATGTTAACATGAAAATGAATCTTATTGAGGTGTTTAAGATCATTAAGGGAGAGGATAGTGTTGATGCTAAACTTTTTTTCGTCTTTCTTAATGGACTAGGGAATACAAGCATAAATTTTGGCAGAGTAGGAGTTACCTTCAGCTTCACATTTTATTTTCGTATTAGACTGAATAATTGGGTTTTGGAATGGGTTGCCTTCAGATGTGGTGAATGCTGTTAATTTAAAGGAGTTTAAGGCAAAGCATTATAAATAATTGAATGATGAAGGCTGGCTTAGAGGGTTTTTTTTAGTAGATGGAATGGCCTAAATGGATCAAAAGATCCATTGTTGTCCATAAATTTTAAGTTTATGAAAGCTTTTTGAAAATTTAAATACATCCAATCCACAATCTTTGCATCGTTCAGATAACAAGTGACAACATAAAAAAAACATTAACAAGTTAAAAAGGGAAAATTTCCTTTTAGTGAATCCTTGTTGGTTTTCTTTTATTATATATTTCACCAAGTGGTTTTGTAAAGCTTCTTTTACCAAACTCTTAAAGTTTTTCCACTACAGACATAAGACTAAATGTCCTATAATTTCCAGGGTAACTTGTTAACATTAGCAACTTTCAAATCCTAGGGCTTGTGTCTATTGACTATTGACCTGTCAAAAATGAAAGAGAGAGGCTTGCTTGTGTGATCTTTGATCTTCTTTAAAATCCTGTGGGAAAACCTTTTCTGTCCTGGTGTTTTGTATATTTTTACTCTCAATCTTTCTCCATACCACAAAGGGCTTAATATCTACATGGTTCAGTTCAATTCATTTATACATTTAAGTGTTTTATAGGGTAGAGAAAAAGGTATAACAGTTTCAACTCTTTCAAGCTTCTTGGTATCAATAATGAAGATGCTACTTTTATAGATTTTATATGTGAATCTTCTGAAGAACTATGGTAATGGAGTTGGAAGAATAAGTATTTTATTTAAAAAAAAATAGTCTGAAAACTTGCAGAACTAGCTGGAAAAAATGTCAAGATTATTTGGGTTGCTTATTTACATTTTTAGCAATCCTTATTTATTTTGAGCTGTGTTGTCAGTCAGTGATTAAGTTATTACACACAATAAACTTTTAAAAAAATTTTTTCATTTCTATAAGATGTATATGACAGGCATCTACTAAACATTATTTGATTGGGAGATTGTTTTGTGTTTGCTTTACTTATTGTACAAACAACAATCAAAATGTTCATGCACCTTGAAGAAGTACATGTAAAGATGATAGTGATGTAATCTTTACTTGGAAGTGGTTAATATTTTCACATCTCTAAGGTTCGTGTTATGAAAACTTACATTCACACAAGATTTTTACTGCAGACGTATTTGGGTATGAATGTTAAAACTTAAATGGATTTAAACTTAATTTAGTAAGTTAAGCATAGTTTTAGAAGGTTAGGGTAATTTTTCTTTTGCTTGAATTACCTGAATTAGTAAGTAGAACTTGATGTGTCCTTGCAGAGATGGCCCTACCATGGCAAGAAGCATCAAGTCTGATGATTGTATCCAAAGCACCACTTGGAGAAGTTGTTGGAAAACGACTTGATAGTATTGTAGGAGCTGCTGTGGGTATTCCAAGCACTGCTAAATCACAAACAAATGACTGTGGTTATAAACTTTTAATGGTGAAACGAAGTGGACGAAGTTCTTATATGGCTAATGCTTTTGTTTTTCCTGGTGGTATCATTGAACCTTCAGATTTTTCTTCTCAATGGTGGAAAGCATTTGAAAAAGTTGGTGCTAGTCGTGAATCACTGATTAGTCAACTGTGTGAAGTCAAGGGTCCACGCCCACCCATGATTAAAGCACCTAATACAGTTGAAAGATTTGGACTTGACAGAGATCACTGTCTTCCAGCTGATATAGCATTTCGTATTGCAGCTATTCGGGAAACATTTGAAGAAACTGGCATTCTTTTAGTAACTGCTGTGGCTAAAACACAGCCAACTTCTGCTTCCTTTGTGAAACAAGACAGTTTGCATTTAAACCTTAGCCAGTGGCGTAAAATGTTGCGTAAAGATCCAAAGAACTTTGTACAGTTATGTTTGGAGTCGAAAGTTTGTCCAGATGTATGGGGACTTTATGAATGGTGGGATTGGCTGACTCCCACATCTGTAGGTCATCGACGCTACGACACCATGTTTTATCTCTGTTGTTTGGATAAACAACCTAGTGATGTAGTTTTGAATCGAAGTGAAGTAATCACACTAAAGGTAGGTTCTTATTTTTGTAGTTGTTTGTGTATTGTATACTTTTAACAATGTAAACTATTTGAAGTAATCAAAGTAGTGAATCATTGAAGTGAAGTAATCACACTAAAGGTAGGTTCTTATTTTTGTAATTGTTTGTGTATTGTATACTTTTAACAATGTAAACTATTTGAAGACTTTTATTGAAGTATGTAGGTGCAATATTTATTCTAGTATAATTTTAAACATAAAGAAAAAAAAAGATGTAAATTCCTTGAATTACAGAAAAGCAGTAGGGCACATGGTATATAGATGCAAGTATCATATTTATATCTGGTTATTTGCATATTAAGTTGAGGAATACTATGAATTCTGAATAGTTTTATCAAAATGCTGCCAAAGGCCAATGAATAGAAATCACTGACTTGTCTACAAGTCTTACTATTTGTATGTGTATGTATTTTTTCTTAATTTGTTGATCATGGTGTAATTCACTAGTTCTGTCCTCTTGTATTTGTGTAATTTCTTATATTGGTATCATATGCAGTATTTATAGAAAAGTAACTACAATGTAAAATATTTGTGAACACCTGTGGAGAGGCAAGATTTGTTAAGAAGTACCACAACTCAAAAGTGTTTGAATTTTTCACTAAAGAGATGGAGGAACCTATGTTGATTATTTGTCATTGTGTCAAGATGACTGTAAAATATACTCTTAGAGGAAAAGGAATGTTGTGTACTTACTATATATGATCTTGTAGAATCTCAGTATTCACATCTAATAAAGAAAGGGTTACAATATATATATATGACTTGCAAGGGCAGATACAGTGTATTCTACTATGACTTCACAGTATGCTTCATATTGTTCATCCACACAATATCATCTTAATAGAAGGCCTAATGTATAATGAAATTAAAAGCCAAGTTAATGTATTGTACATGTATATTTGATATTGCTATTCATATGTAATATACTGGAAGGCAATATCTAAGATATAAAATGTTCAGTTAGGATCCACCTAAAAGGTATCTCAAAATAAATGTATTTTGTATATAGCTTTGTTTCTCAAGTTAATTAAAGAAGCATGTAAGATTGACATATATAAATGTGAGTTTAATATAATTCTATTATTAGTCAAGATACTTCTAAAATTTGCTTACATTATATAAGAAATAATTATGTACTCTTTGTTCTCTCTCAGACAGTTTGGTTTGAGATGCAACTAACATGTAAAACATTTGTTTCTTTTAGTGGGGTACTCCGCTAAGCTTTCTGGATGATTTCAGTTGCAGCAAAATATTTCTGGCTCCTCCTCAAGTGTACGAGTTGTCTCGGTTGATGAATCTTATGACTTACCAGGATCTATTTAAATTTGCTTCAGAAAGACGGGATAAAGGAGTGGAAAGATGGATGCCTGTTCTCTGTACTACTGCTGATCCTGATGGAGGGATGTTATCTTTGATGCCAGGTATGTTTTCTTTTTTTAGTTGAATTTGTGGTGTACAGTGATGTAAGTTAGAGAAAACCTGATAACTATGAAAACCTTGTGTTGAGGAACTGTGTATACAGTGTATTTACGTAATTAGCAAAAATAGCATATGTGTGTGTGTGTGTGTATATATATATATATATATAAACTACTCAACAATTATTATAATGTCTTGCATGTGAAATACATTGTAGTTATGAAGGCTTAATGGAATATTTAGTGTTGTGTTTGTGCTCATTTCTGTAGATTTAAGTTCACAGAACCACCAAAACTTGTTACATAGTCTATCCTTCACAGCATTATTTGAGGCTTAAAACTTTAGTCATTTTGTCTTGTGGTTGGTTGTTTGTTTTGAATTTTGTGCAAAGCTACACGAGGGCTATCTGTGCTAGCCATCCCTAATTTAACAGTGTAAGACTAGAGGGAAGGCAACTAGTCATCACCACCCATCGCCAACTCTTGGGCTACTCTTTTACCAACGAATAGTGGGATTGACCATCACATTATAATGCCTCCAAGGCTGAAAGGAGCAAGCATGTTTGGTGTGACAGGGATTTGAACCCGTGACCCTCAGATTGCGAGTCGAGCACCATAACCACCTGGCCATGCCGGGCCCTTTGTTTTGTGTCAACTATAGTAGTTTCAATATAAAGTTCTCTTGCATTTTTATTAAAAACATTACCTGTTCTATAAACTTGTTGGGGTTTTGTTTGCACAAGAATAGTGTGGACATTGTTATTAATAGAACTATAAAAGAACATGATTGTGTGATTTGTGTACAGTTAAGTATGTAATGTTCATTTTTGTACAATGACAGTATACAATTTCCTTTTAGTTAGTGTCATCTTGAGGTAAGGTGAATGGATAGAAGATTGAATATTTCCCTATAGAGAATGCAGAATTTTTACTTATTACCAATGAGTTCAAGGAATTTAGTGTGAAGTAAATGAAATTTGGTTTAAATGGACACATTCTGAAAATGTGATGAAATATTTCTGTTGACTATTAACTTTCACAATATTTGGTCACTTCTATGCAAACACTTTTAATTAAAAACTTGGATCTTTCTGAAGAACTAATTCCAGTTAGTTTGACTCTGCTGTTATTAAAATGTCAAATATTATCAGCATACTTCTCATAAAAGGGAGTTTCTTATGAACTTCATACATTTGGAAAGTGTTGGTACTCGTTAGGGTGGGAACAACTGATGATTATATGTATCTTGACATTCAGACATTTGCTATACAAGAGCTGAATTATTAGATTCACTGTTGTTGAAAGTGGAAGGAAGTGAGTGATGAAAAATGGGCATTATTTTTCAAATAGTAGAATGTGACTTGTGGGTTCTTCAGAGTAGTCTGTTTTAATATCTTTGTTATTCATTACTTTTTTCAATGATAGGATTATAACAGAATATATTTTTGACCTTTGGTTCCACACGTATTACTAAACAAAGATTCAAACCTTTAATAGTACTAATTTGTATAGTTTACTAATAACGTCACCATAACCACTAGTTTATATTTGATTAAAAACTCTTTTATTTTACATGCAATCCATATAAATGAAATAAAATATTGACACAGTTTAAAAATGCTTTATATGTATATATAATATTTTCATATACGTACTTGGTGCTACATGCAAAACTCTTAATGCTACATACAGTAAGCTTGAATCATAAGAACACCTTATTTTCACCAATTTATAAAAGAACTCTGTTGACTTAAGCAAAACAAATCTTTATTTAACAGTCACCATTCCAAGCAGTTTAACAGCTTGTCTTTTTAATAAGAAATTATTGATTAATTACTACATCCCCTCCACAAGGTGCATGTTTAACCAACAAGTGATGATAATACTCATTCTCTTATAATATTAATATTTTTGTTATAGTTGCA